AGGGTTAAATATACAATGGTAAGGAGGCAGACGAAGAACTTTGTGCCCATGTTGTTCCGCCAATTCATCAATCACGTATATTTTAGGTGGTTTGTTTCTAAAAAAGCAGTTATTTTAAGAATAGGAATAAACAAAAGAAATATAAACTGTCGACCAAAATATATATAATTAAGAAGCATTATGTACCGAGCAACAATACTCAATAGCTCTGTTTTAAACATTGTGTTTAAAAATGGTATGTTTTGATTTGTCAACCAGTCTTGGATATTTTTTTTTGTCCATGCATTGTTGGGCACTTTGTTCAATATCATGCTGTGATAAGGGGCGTTATCCAGTATAATCATAGATGGACTCTCCAATTTAACTAATAACTGATGTTGAAACCATTTCAAAAAATTGTCCTGGTTCATCTCACCATGGTAATCGCTCAATTTTGTTTTCGAAGAAAATATCGCTTCACTACCCTCAATAAACCCATTTTCATTTCCAGCATGTAATATAATGTATCTAAAATATATTAGTTTTAAATTTTATAGTGCAAATTGTGTAAAAGTACATACCTTTTACCATCTGTTTTAATAGCTTTCACGCTTTTTTGGTTTCCATTTTGCCAAGAGCGACCTATGGTCCCATTTTGAAATATCCAAGTTTCATCGAGGAAGACAAACTGGTATAAGGCCTCAACCTTGGCTTGATTGTATTGCCTTAGAAATTCCACCCTTTTCAAAGCTATACTTGGTAGTTCCATGAGCCCTCGTCGCGGATTGTCCTTAAGCCACTTAAATCCAAGATCTCTAAGCAACCGCCTTAAAGACGTGGCACTACCATCAAATAATGCCCTATCTCTTAATCGGGACCATAAAGTTTGTATCGTAACTTGTTCTTCTGAAACCATGTGTAATATGACATTATAATTTAGTTAACAAATTAATGCAAATTTCTGATAAGTTATTATAATAAGATCTTACTTTTGTGATACATATTATAGATCACTTCTCGAATGGCACTTGTATCCAATGTCGCTGTGTTGGTTACACGTTTAATATAACTCCGCTTTTTCTTGGGCGATTCTAAATTTGCATCACTTTTCACACCCTCGGAAATACGACTAACTGTCCTTAAACTAATTTTTAAAGCAGCAGCAACACGCTACAAAAAATGAAATAAAATTTCACTATTATTAATATACATTACATATAATTACACTGGTCAACAAAATTTTAACTTTGTCGTGCCACACGGACTTTTTTGATATTTTTTACTTTAATTGGTGACTGTAAGAAAAAATAAATAGTTAAAAAAAATTCGCTAGACAAGGATTTTATTCTATTGAGTAATTTAAAACATTAAGAAAAAACACAGAACTCGTAAATCAAAAGTTATTTTTTTTTATAAATGACTTAATAATCTAAGATTTTCTTGAATATTTAGCTTCTGGTTGGTCCCTTTTAATTGTCCAGCAGTAATCTGCTAACATATTTGGGCTCCATTTGCCCTGGTACCGCTTTTCCATATTATAAATGTCCTGATGGAACCTCTCACCGTGCCCGTCGCTGACAGCCTCTAAATTGTCAGGAAAAAAATCCAGGTGCGAGTCTAAAAAATGGATCTTAAGTGACATGTTGCAACCCAATGCTTGATATGACAATAATAGCTCGCTAACCAACTCTCTGTAGCTGTCACTCTTGTGGTTACCCAAAAAATTTGAAACAACATTTTTAAAAGCCTTCCATGCAGATGTTTCTAAATCGCTTAATTTTTTTTCAAATCTTGAATCTTTTATTAACTCCCTAATTTGAGGGCCAACAAAAATACCGTTTTATCTTTGCATCACTTATTTTAGGGAATTTTTCTTTTAGATACAAAAATCCACTCCCACTGCGATCCATTGCCTTCACAAAATTTTTTATTAATCCTAATTTGATATGCAATGGTGGTAGAAACACATTATTTGGCTGTACAAGGGGTAAATACTTTACGTTTTTTTGCCCAGGAACTAACGATGCACGCGTAGGCCATGTTTTTTTTATATAGTGATTAGTTCTGTCTCGGCTATCCCATTCACATAAAAAGCAGCAAAACTTTGTATAACTCAGCTGAAGTCCAAGTAATAGTGCAACAACTTTAAGATCACCGCAGATTTTGAAGGAATATGTACTGTAATTTATTTTATCAAGTAAAAGTTTCATATTTTCATAGGTTTCTTTCATATTTGCAGCATGGGCCAGAGGTACAGACGGAAGCTTATTTCCATTATGCAATAACACTGCTTTTAGACTTGCTTTCGAAGAATCAATGAATAAACGCCACTGAGAGAGATCAAAATCTGTGTCCAACATTTTCATAATCTCATTTATGTTATTGCAAAACACCAAATCTCCATCCTGAGAAAAATACGTTCTGAAGTGTTGATCACGGTTTCGAAAATAGCTAACTTTTGTATTATGATGTAGCAAATTCCATTCTTTTAGACGTGATCCTAATAGTTCTGACTGCTTTTTTGACAAATTTAAATCCCGAACCAAATCATTTAGGTCTCCTTGAGTTATCAAATGTGGCTCGTTTACAATTCCTTTTAACTCAAAGTCATCGTCCTCGTCAACACATTCACCTGAAGTGGACGGTTGTGAATTGTTCTCAACAGACGTAGTTGCAACTGGTATTAGTTCTGGCAATTTTTTACAATGAGAGACTGGTCTTATAGCCGAAGATAAGTTAGGGTAAATAACTATGGTTTTTTTCTTGTAATTTATACCTTTTATGTCTGTGAGACAAAAATAGCAATCTGAAACGTGATCTCGCTGTTCAGTCCATATCATGGGTACAGCAAACGGCATAGGTCGTGCATCTTTCTTCCAGGCAGTTAAATTTTTCACACACGTTATGCAACAGACATGAGGGGCCCAGGATTTGTCTTGATGGGCGACAGAAAAACCAAAACATTGGTGATAACACTCCAACACAAGATTCGTAAAATTTCGTCGTTGTTTTTTGAATGTTAGTTCTCCGCAGACATAACAAAAAGAGTTAGGATCATTATTACACTTCCTCGACATATTCACAGGGTTAATAAATCACAAAAGTGTTCAAATTCAACAACAAATATTTTTATAAGGATTTACTTGTAAGCGTTTCTGTTAATTTACTGCAGTAGTACTATTTATGAGTATTACCGTATCACAACAAATATGAGGCTAATAGACATATGACGGCTGTGATGTAATAATGAGGGTAGACTGATAAAACAAAATTAGCTGTCAAAGTTCGTGTGGCAAAACCTGTGTTGACCAGTGTTATTAGTAACCTACCTCTTGAACAGCATTTAAAGGCAACAAAGGCCCGTTGTTGTTCCTTTCTTGCTCAAAGTAGTGCATTAACGAGGCCACGAGTTCCTTACACCGACTATTTAACTGTTTGGGCATCTTTATATACCACAATTGCCTTTATCTACTCGTAAAATGAATAATTTTGTTTTGAAACAAACAGTTGTTGATTTACAGTATGCGGGGCCAAAGGATTTATAAAGATTTGAAATGCCACAAATTGATTCAGTGTCAAAATTAATACAAATGTCAGTTCCCAGTTTAAATAAGTTTCAAGGTGACAATGTGTCAACGCTGCAAAATCGGTTTAGTGCGTTTACATGTCGATAAGTGATTGGAGCGTTTGCAAAACATTTTATTTCGCATAATGCGTCTAAATTTATCAGAAAGCAACTTATGTGATATTTTAATAACAATGTTTATATGACTATTAACCATAATAAGAGAGTAATGACCATTTTACAATTTATATATCACATTAATATGAAACTGCAATAGAGCAATTGTTTGTGATAGAAACCTAGGCATTAGGTCGGGGAATTTTTATCGTGATGACGTGCACGCCACTTTGTTTGGCGTTGACTATACATTCGAATTTTGAAAAATCAGTAACTTGGGCAACAGACAATGTTTTTAAAAATAATCACAAAAGTAAGGCTGCAACTGAAGCATCATACCGGGTGTCCCAGATAATTACACAAAATAAAGAACCTGATGAAAATGAGGACATGATAAAACAGGCGTATTTAGAAGCTGCAGATTCATGATTTGCCAACTTTAGAAAGAAAGACAAGATAATGTCTACTATATAAAATCTATGCAACTTTCTGCTAATAGAGTGATGAGACGAGTAGAAGTAATGAGCTATGAGATAGTTTTACAGTTAAGAAATGACATCGATAACTGTGCTTACTTTTCACTGCAGCTGGATGAATCCACAGATGTCGTTGAGACCTCTCAGATGACCGTGTTCGTCAGGATTGTTTTTAGTGACTTTACGATTAAGCAGCAGATCTTTTGAAGTTTATTCCACTAAAAGGACAGACTACTCAGCAGGTCTAATTTTCTTCTTTTAAAAATATTATTTCTTCTGAGAAAATTCCAATATCGAAAATGGTAGGCTTGACAACCGATGGCGCTCCAGCTATGGTGGGGCGTGATAAGAGACTCGTGGGGTTATGTCGTAAAGATGAAAGTTTTCCGCAATTTATCTGTTACCACTGCATTATCCATCAGCAAGCATTATAATAAAATATAAATTAATAATTAACCAGATTAAAGCTCAAACGTTATAATGAATATTATTCAAAACCTTGGCCGATGAAATTAACTGTAAATACGGGGAATTACTTCTTCACTCTGAAGTCCGATGGTTAAGTAGGGGACGAGTGCTGAAACGTTTTAATGATATCATATCTGTCATAGTTCAATTTTCAAACAAATTGATAGAAGGACTGACTAAACATAGTAAGCCATCAAAATACTCGTTTTCATCGTGGTTACCACAATAATTGCGGTCAAGGTACAGCAGGTCCACTGTAGCGTCTTTATACAAAACCTAGCAGGTACGATCCAACGGCTTTTATGCTCTGCCAGACCATTTATTTAGGATTCCTAACATTTTTTTGTTGGTACTCGACTGCGATCTTACATGTCTTGACATAGTATTTTTTCAAGGAGGGAGCGCTGCCCTAGCTAGCGCTTTGATGTTAGGTCCCCGTTTAGGCAGATATGACCAAGGGATCGGTCCTTTGCCTCTGGGAAACCCCGTCAATGCAGTGATGGGACTATTTGTACTTTGGTGGGGATGGCTAGCTTTCAATTCAGGTAGCACCTATGGAGTAAGTATGATCAAATTTTATAAGGAATACTCCTTAGTTGCTCAAACATTTTGCTCTTGGTTAAAGTCTTGATGATCTGTAGATCCGTCAGGTCTGGTGATGCATTTTTTTTTAGTTGAGTGGAGAAAAGTGGCATTATGCCGCCAGGGCAGCTGTGATGACGATGATGTCAACGTTCGGAGGTGGCACTGTCAGTATTTTGTACACGATGATCAAATCTCATGGAAAGATAAACGCTCTAGATATCATAAATGGTATACTTGGATCTTTGGTTGCGATCACTGGTGGATGCTTTTTATATCGAGGCAAGTATTATTTATTAATAACTATTACTGAATACTTATATTTTATGCATTTACGAAAACTAATAATCCAAATTTAAGGATGGGAAGCATTACTTATTGGAACTGTTGGATCTCTTTTGACCTGTGTGGCAATGCCATTATTCGATTTGGTATGTATATTTATCACTGATATTTAGAGATTAGGCAAGTGCCTTTTTATTTGCGAAATTACAGGTAGTGAATGGTATGAAGGCTAGCATCTGACTGAATGATAAAATGTACAATGTCCTTTTTAAGATGCTGAGTTTCATCTTCTATTTTCCAGCTATTTACATGGTAGCCCTATAACTTATCTCTAATTGTACATATCATACATTCAATGAAATGGTCGCATATCGTTAAGTAGGGTGTCCATAGAATATTTAGTAATATCCAATATGTTACTAACCCATTTATTGTTCGACAGTAAGTAGGACAACCGTTTTGATTAAAACTAGTAACATTAGGAGATTAAAATAGTATAACAAACTATATTAAAAAAAGATTAAATTGCCCAACATGACACAAAAAGAACTAAGTACTACCTCGCGTGGTCACCCTACGCTGTTTTATTTGATATATAACCCAAAAATAAATAAAAAATTACGATGAGATGATTTTATATACGTAGAATAATAGACAAACACGATATTTTAACTGATACACTTCTAATAAATGAATGATAATGCAATTTAAGAGTGAAGTACTAACCTGTTAAGCACGTCTCGTACTCCACAGATTTTTGACGTATTGATCGGTACTTGCGTGACCGGCACAGTACTCGAGAACTCGAGTACCTTTTTGGCGTAAAGTTTTTTATCCTACTTTCTTCCTCATTTGGTAACGAGTTTTTATTATTAACGACTGCCGTGTTGAACTGTAAACCAATGTAAGCACTGCGCTGTCAATGATTTATGTAAATATACTAAGTGACATATAAATCCGAACACCCAGTTTAAATGGTTTTATTTTAATAAAATTTTGTATAAGTACTTAATGAAGCATAATAAGTAATTTTACACAATACAAATTTCAAAATGATTGCACTGCTTTAAAGCCCTTTGACCTTTAATAATGTGTGGATGCACCCTGATGTGCTACGCATTTTCCAACGCGCCTATGCATGCTTCTGATCAGGTGGTCAATGTCCTCCTGTGGTATCTCATTCCAAGCAACCACCAACTATTCTCGAAGTGCTTCTAGAGTCTGAGGAGGACGTTGCAAATTGAGCAATCTCCTACCCATCATATCCCACACGTGCTCAATTGTAGATAAGTCGGGAGATCTTGGTGGCCATGGTAACAATGTGACATCATTATGTTGAAAGAGTCTATTGTGACTCTTGCAACATGTGGTCGGGCATTATCTTTTTGGAAAGTTGGATCTGCCAGGGTGTCAAGATAGGGTAAAAGATGGGGTTCTAGAACTTCGTGGATATAACGCTGCGCGTTCATGTTACCTCTGATGAAGATTAAAGGTGACCTGGAGCCATAAGCTATAGCACCCCAAACCATAACTCCAACAGTGTGATGAACATGTCTTTCAACAAAAAACTGTGGATTCCTCCTTTCACCACGTCGCCTTCTAACCCTGGCACGACCATCGTGCATGCCTAAACAAAATCGAGACTCGTCACTAAAGACAATACTGTTCCATTCCTGATTCCAGAGTGACCGTTGTCTGCACAACTCAAGGCGATTACGTCGGTGTTCTCGAGTTAAACTGAGGACCCAGTGTGGCCGGTATGAAAACAAGCCAAAACTTCTCATTCGTCGGTAAACACTTCGCATACCAATAGGTCTTCCGTGTTCTGCAAACCATTCATTTGCAATGGACCTGGTACAGGTCTCCGTACTCTAGGCATCGTAACCGATCGTAAAGGATGTCAAGAACCAAAATCCGCCAACGTTGATTCTTTACTGCGGCTGAAATATTCATTTTTAGAGCGTTAGTGAATTAAAAAAAGCACTATAAAAACCGGAATGTCCAACTGATAAGGCTGAACATTTTTTGACTTGTTATTAACAGTAAGATAAATACACTCACCAACTTTTATTAAAATAAAACCATTTAAACTGGGTGTTCGGATTTATATGTCACTTAGTATATTTTCGATTTGATCATGCTTGGTCATTACACGCGGTCGCTGCGCGTTTAGTTGATCATATCATTGGACAATTTGTTATCATTGATCTGGTCAACGCAAAGCTTTGAGCATTTTGGTGACAAGACCGTCTAGACGTTGATCCGAACTTCTTTTGTGATACATTTTGAACCTTCGAAAAATACATTTCCTAGAAACAAATATTGTTTAAACCAAGTGGTAAGATTTGAAAAGGGTCAGCAGATGGTGACCTTGAATGTTATCTCGACTAAGAGCTTCAAGGTCACTTAATGGTCAAGACAGTTTTAGCGAAAACCCCTGAAATGCTAGGCGCGGGAAATTTTTTGTTCAAGTAGCTCATTTTCCATGACTCTGAGTATGACCTCCAAGTTTATTTCAGGGTGTTTCAAAAGTATGGAGAGAACAAACTATCTCGAAAAATATGCTATCCAGGGGAAAATGGTATGAAGCAAAGTTGCAAGGTTCAAGAATAGTCATTTAATGGTGACCTTGAACGTGACCTTGACCACGACCTTAGGGTTTTTACGATAATCGAGGATTTAGTGGACGTAAAATTACTGTTCTGAAACCAAGAATAGAAGTGTCCAGTTAAACATTTATCCTTCAATATTGGCCTTCAAGGTCATGGTCAGGTTCATTGGCAAGGATATACCTGAATGTAAAATTGCCCGCAACTTGCGTTTCGTGAGTTAAAAAAAGATTTTTGTCGCTAAGAATTTATTTGATCTTCAAATGATCTTGATAGACCATATTCCTAGTCAGCACTCTAAATTACCGAAGGATAAACTTGAAATTTTAACCGTCGTATTCTTACAAAATATTTCGGTTCCTATGAAAGAAATTTCGAAGAGCCACAGCTTATCTGTGTGTACGTAGACACCGAATCTGACGTAAGTTTGACGCTAAAATTTAATGGTAATCGTTTGAATAGATCCGCATTCACTAAAGAGATATCGATGGTAGATTAGGCAAGAAACCGCTTTACTCAAAATTATAGTGAATGTGCACATCAGCCAAGTATGTCCATCCACCATAATTTTCTATAAAAGGTTTCTCGTCTGATTTACCATTTCAATCTCTACGATAAATACGCAATTTTTCTAACTTCGATTTGGCTAGGTGAGGAGGCCCAGAGCCCATAGAGATATTCTACCACATGTTCAGGTGCCCACCTCCCCCCTTCTTTAACAGTTTTCCACCGATATACTCGTTCTCCAGGTTGCCTTTAATGTGCAAAGTTTGAAACGCTTGTAACAACCGAAGAGAAATTTGAATTACACTGTAATATATTTGGAGACTTACAATTTTTAAAAACCACTGCATATCTGTAAACCGTTAAAAAATTCGTTCGGTGACTAAATCTGGTGCGATTACATATTTGAATCGGGTGTCAGTTGTTTGACGCTAGGTTTCACGGGCCCAAACACTGGCGCATCCCAAGTGCCCGCATATGAGGGGGGGGGGGGGGGCGGAGGGGCCACCTCCTACGAATCCGAATGAACTTTTAAATTTGCGTATTTCGCGTAATTTTATGTAAGACACCGAGGATTTTTAGGATTAACCCCCCTCCCCTTGGAAATTTGCTACATGCACTCTTTAAAAAGTCTTGGGGGCAGGTACACTTTCACAAAAAGCAATCTCTTGCCGATGATCGCCCCTCTGAGAAAAGCGTTCGGCTACATATACTAAGTGACATATAAATTCGAACACCCAGTTTAAATAGTTTTATTTTAATAAAATTTTGTATAAGCATGAAGCATAATAAGTAAATGATAAAAATTTCAAAATGATTACACTGCTTTAAAGCCCTTTGACCTTTAATAATGTGTGGATGCACCCTGATGTGCTACGCATTCTCCAACGCGCCTAGGCATGCTTCTGATCAGGTGGTCAATGTCCTCCTGTGGTATCTCATTCCAGGCAACCACCAACTCCTCTCGAAGTGCTTCGAGAGTCTGAGGAGGACGTTGCAAATTGAACAATCTCCTACCCATCATATCCCACACGTGCTCAATGGGGGATAAGTCGGGAGATCTTGGTGACCATGGTAACAATGTGACATCATTATGTTGAAAGAAGTCTATTGTGACTCTTGCAACATGTGGTCGGGCATTATCTTGTTGGAAAGTTGTATCTGCCAGGGTGTCAAGATAGGGTAAAAGATGGGGTTCTAGAACTTCGTGGATATAACGTTGCGCGTTCATGTTACCTCTGATGAAGGTTAAAGGTGACCTGGAACCATAAGCTATAGCACCCCAAACCATAACTCCGACAGTGTGATGAACATGTCTTTCAACAAAAAACTGTGGATTCCTCCTTTCACCACGTCGCCTTCTAACCCTGGCACGACCATCGTGCATGCCTAAACAAAATCGAGACTCGTCACTAAAGACAATACTGTTCCATTCCTGATCCCAGAGAGTGACTGTTGTCTGCACCACTCAAGGCGATTACGTCGGTGTTCTCGAGTTAAAGGGAGGACCCAGTGTGGCCGGTATGAAAACAAGCCAAAACTTCTCATTCGTCGGTAAACACTTCGCATGCCAATAGGTCTTCCGTGTTCTGCAAACCATTCATTTGCAATGGACCTGGTAGTGGAGAAACGGTCCCTTAAGGCCAATAATCTTAGGCGGCGATCTACACGGTCTGTTGTTCTACGGCGGCGTCCAGTGCCCCTTGCTCTTTGAGTACGGCCTTCTCGAAGCCATGCCTGACAACACCTAACCACAGTGTCTACACTTCTTTGCACTCTAACTGCAATTGC